AATCGGTCAAACTTCCAAGTTATGTTTTAACAATGGAGCAATCCAGAGGAGAGCCCAACACAGACGAACTGGTCGTGCGTGGGGAGAAAGTGTTACCGGACAAATGTAAACTTCGTGAAGAATCGGAAGTAAACAGGGCCAGTGAATCAAACGAAAATTCCTCGACATCTACCTCTCTTTCAGAATCATTCGAAGATCTTACCGAAGAGGTCACAGCCGAAGAGGTTCGTTCCCAGTTTTCTTTTATACTCTTTTTTTTTTGGGTGGAGAGGGGGAGAGGGGAGGGGAGAATTTGCAGTACTTTATTTTTGTTTGTCTTTTAATTGTCAAATAATTCAAGTATAAAAAATTCTGTGAACCATTTGTGGTGTATGGGTTTTCAAGTCTATTTTTAATAGTATATAGCTTACTGAGTTGGTATTTTTGATTTCTGTTGCTTCATTTCCTCACCATCGATTTCTTGTGCGGCTTATTTCGTTGCAGCTAATATGTATTTTTTCGCCCACAGCATTTCCTGTTCGCTTTCCCTTCCTCTTGTTTCTTAGTTACCCTAAATGCTCGCCAAAATATCATAGGCCTCGATTCGCTTTTCTCTTCCCTTACACCGCCTGTTTTTATTTCGACAAAATAAATGTTGTACTATTGAATCCCAAACTGAAATACCACTGTTTCTGTTCAAATGTTTGATGATTTCTTCACAAATACAGAAGAAAAAAATATGCAAAGGGTTTATCCCCGTGACAGTCCCTTTTTCCCCTCTACAGTCCCCTCTCCCTTCTTCCCCTCTACGGTCTTATATCTGCAGAGGTATGATGTAAGTTAAATCGTTTTAATGCTTTAACAGTTTTATAGATGGTCGTTTGTTCCCGTAACATTCCTCATTTTCTTAACGCACAGTTTCGAAAATCAGAAATTTGGATCTGTCCGTTTCTCTTCCCCTCTTCTATGATATTCTTGTTCCGGACTAAAATTTGTGTCCATCATCAAGGCCAGCTTATTGGAGCCACATCATCACAGGACTGTATCTTCACACCCTTGCTTTGTCAGTCACTGCGGTACGATACATTTACAGTATATGCATATCTGCATCAACATTCTGAGAATTATATAATACATGTGGTTACCCATATACTCAAGTTGCCTTTTCTTGTTTTTTATACTATTAGCCGATTTG